GGATCTGGTTTTTATCTCCCAGGGTTGTTAGCCCGGGGGGTATGGAAGATGAAATTATTAGAGTGAGGGGCGAAAGAACGGCACACACACACACTCGCGCGCGCGCACACACACACACACACATACAACAATGTCCGAGGCGGGACTCGAACTCGAGATCTTCTGGTTCGCGACCACTACGACACTACTATTATTGACGAATTCTCCCCACAGATGGAAGACGCTAAGCAAGAGAGACAATCAGTTTTGGGATGGGAGGGGTTCCTCTTATTATTCTAATGTGTTTCCATTCTTTCCGAAGAAGCTTGTTTACGAATGTTCTTCTGATCACTTTGGTCTATATGCATTGTTTTTGTTTTGGTTGGTGTGACGCACCTTCCCACTTATCCACTTTCTGTCTGAAGGTGTACATTATTGACAACGTTTAAATGGAACACAATGGACATATACTATATTATTCAATTTCTCACCATCTTGATAAGTGCCAATGCAGAACGTAGTAAGATGAAGTGCTTGCTAAATAGATTTAAGTAGTGAAGTCAAGAGCTAGTGTTGAGTTGACAGTGGCAAAGTGAAAAGTCTTTCTTATTTTTTGTGTAAATGGCTTTTACATTTTCTTATTTTGTATGTAAATAGCATGTGTATAAGGAATTTCCCAAATTGGGTGGTCCGAAGTTCTCCCACTATGTAACCCACTCCACAACGGGAGGCACTTGCCCTTTACGGGATTGTAAACGGCTATAATAATAAAAGACATGGATTCCATGAAACTACTCTGAGGAAGAAACTTTCTTACATACAGGAACAATAGTTATTCACTTTTCGTTATCAGGGACTCACAACAGATTATTCTTTCGAAATATCTCCATTTTTGCCAAATAATTACAATACTTTATAGCACGTAAGTAGTATGCGACAAAGTATAAGGCATTCCATTCAGAATTATGATGGAAAAGTAAATACAGGAGAGGGTGAAGTAGGAAGATATTGAAGAAGTGTTCTCCCAAGGGAAGGCAAAGATGGAAAAGAAGAGTTGGACACTAGATGGAGGAACAAGTGTGGAAACAATATTTGTATTTAAAAGTATCCTTTTACAAGTTGAAGCTACGAGGAAGACATGTAATTACGAAAGTAACGTAGTAACCATTTTTATGTAATAATTCTCAGACACTCGGTTTGTTTTTCTATCAAATTTCTCATTCGAAGAACAGTACCACTCTGCCTATCATGGTTCCAGCTGGCACAACCGATTCCCAGCCGCAAGCTCGCATTACGAGAGACCGACTTGTTGAGGCAGATAATTCTGTTTGTTTGGTCCGGTGCGGAATTTCACAGGGGATCGAGCTGGAACGCGCTGATCAATGCAGCAGCATAATTAGTGGCATTGGCGCTCCTCGCCTCGATGCCGTCTGAAGCCTCCCCCCCTCTCACTTCCGCCGCCAATGAGGCGCGGGCCGGCCGCATGGGCAGTCGACCGGTGGAGAGACTTCTCGCCGGCCGCAGAATCAAATTCTGCAGCTGCGGAATTCATGCACGCTTTTGCGTTTGAAACAGTTTCTTCGTCGTTGTTAATAATCATTCAAAGTGGGATTCTGCTAAGCAATTGTTTACATGTTGGCGTATTTCACGCATTAATGGCGTAGTTCACGTTGTATATCCATGATTAGGTTGCACTAAACAAAACTAGATTCAATCGGTGCGAACGAGGCGTAAAATAGTTAAAAACAAAATTGTAATGTTTTCATATAAGGTTGGAAATTATAAAAGTTTTTTAAACGTTTTGTGTGCATAAATGGTTTTGTCTTACGAACATTTTTATTTATTTGTAAAGCAGCTTTCCACAGGTTAGCCTTAACATTCAGGCCTGGTACAAATATCTGAAAACATTAAGTACAACAAAATAAAACATGTTTTTCATTTAGAAAAAGGAGGCGTATTTGTGTGAATAAAATATTGTGAAGAGTTGTGAATGACAATGCCTGTATTGCTAGGTTTTCGGAAAAGGTATGTTTGCTTTCTTATTTGTGGATATTTAAATTTAAGAAGTTGATAGATTTGTCCTCGTTCTGTCGTGATGAGTATACGCATTTGGATGAAGGAGGAAATCGAGGTGTAATGTAGTAAAGCCGGTCAAGTCAAAAAGGATATCATCTAATTAGCAATTTCACTGTGTAAAAGTTTTGTGAAGAGGATGATTTGACAGAAGGATGTTCCTCGATAAATAAACTCAACATGAGGAAATGTATCATCTTCACTCGTGTCCACTACGATTTTTTCCACCATTTCTTTCCTCTTACTCTTCCGCCTCTGTTACAAGTACGTTTCTCCAGAGCTATTGTCTACAACACTGTTTTCTGCGCAGCCCTTAATCCCTCTAATCCAAAATATTCATGTGTAAAAACAGACAGTAGCATCACTTTTTACAATATTACTGACAAAACCCAATATATAAAGCCCACATCATCCACCATACCATCAAACCACACAAAATGCATCAAAACATATAAAACAGTCAAATTAGTCGTTCATGACGAGAAAAAATACTTCCTGAAAAAATCAGTGGTTTTTAAACTCCAAAAACTTTCCTATGAACACGCCGAGAGATGCATACCTGTGACATCTTAAACAATAACTTAATAATTCATAAGCAATGTTTCCCTATCGAACAAAACATACCATGGAACTCGTCATACTCTAGGCTTTATAGTATTTCTAAATTACATAAGAATATATTCCCATTAGTCCTATAGTCCCTTACACAAGCATATTAACACGAAAATTACCTGAGAAATTGAACCTCATTCACTAACACACTCAATCCTATCTCGTTAAAACTTCTTAGATCTAGACGAAAATATCCAGCACATTATCATCCCCTTGCAAAATTAGTCTCGACCTAAATAGTCTCGCCCGACACGATTAGAGTTGATCCTTAGATCAACATCGGAGCCAGAGTGCAACATCAGAGTGCCAACAGCCTTGCACATCCGCTTCTGATATTCCATTCCGGCCACGTCTACCTTGGAGGATCTAGAAGAGCACGCCAAACAATCTCATCAGTTTTCCCCGGACCGCGGGAACAGCTCTTCAGCCGCTGTTCCCTGGAGGGGAGTGGCTGCTCTTTCCGAGCGTCCGCGGAGGTCCCCTGGCGGAGCAAAGATCCTCGCAGGAAGAGGCGAGAGCGGCCCTGCGCGTCGTCGGTTGCCGGCACGTGCCCGCCACTCGGCTCGCCAACTCCTTTCTTCCGGACAGCCGGCGGTTAATTAAGAATTCCACGCAAAAGGCCGCTGCGCGTGGGGATGAGGCTTTCTTCGTGAATGCTTCATCGAGCTCTCCCCGGGGGTTGAGGGGGGGGGGCGCTCGCTCGGTACAAGTTGGGCTTCCGCCGGCCAAGTTGCGAGGAGAGAGCTCGGCTCTTTCCGGGACAGGGAGGGCCTTGGGGATGCTGGCAGGAAGTTTTGTGCTTCGCAACCTGCGTTTAGCGACCTGCTGTAGGGAGTTGATTTTTGACTGATGGGCATTTGAAATCATTTCCTCGTGATGCATATATGGCATCTTACATTTTTATACGGTTTTTACTTCTCGCCAAAAATCCTACTCTCGCCAAGATTCTAGGGTCGATCTTTTCAAGTTGTAGAGGGAAGGACGCGTTTAGGAAGTATTTTGGGAGGGATATTTTTTTCGCAACTTTTCTGTGAAAAAGAGATTCAAATTTGGAATTTACTGTAACCCTTAAATGCCAATTTTGTCAAAATCGCTCCAAATTGTTCTATTTGAAAATTACTATTTGGGATGAAGTTTTACTGTTATTTAATATTTATGAAATAATATTTCCGTTCTACCATTAGGAAAGCTAAAAATTGAGAAAATTTCGAAGAAATGTACTTCTATACTTTCCCGTATACGTACGTATATACGGAGTAATATACGCAAAATAGGGAAATTAATGTAATGCTGTGGAAAATCGATTTCAAGATTTCAACGGAAATACACGTTTTGAGATCTCCTGATATCTTAAAAAAAGCGTTGTTTTGTTTCAAAACGTTTGTCCGTCTGTCCGTACTTCCGTCAATTTGTGAACACCACTAGGGCGTAAACCATACGAAGGATGTTTTTGAAATTGTCTATCTGGCTCGGGTAAACGCTTTGAGATTTTGAAAAACATTTTTTTAAAATTTGTAGGTACCTTACACAAAACCACTGGACGTTTTCACAGTTTTCTCAAAAACGGCTCTTTTCTTTAAACTCTTGATAGGAATACTGCAATATGAACTTTATGAGATGACAAACATCAGTTCGCTCTATTCCGATTTCTGTGAAAACTAGCTCAAAGTTCCAAATTTTCAGAAATGATCAAAAGTCATTTTCTTGAAAACGGCTCAAAATTTTGCCTTCGAAATTTTCGAACGAATAGTGCTTATTGCACTCTTTAATATTACTTAAAGTTCATTTCGGTGTATTTTTTGTTATTTCTGAAAAATTAAGAAAACTTCAAACAAATGTATTTTGGGATTTGATAGGTGGCAGCTGGCAAGAGTATGTGGCAAGTTCGTATAGCTATCCGAGACCAAAGGAAATAGAAAACTAATACGAGAAAGTCTGTGCCATTTGTAGCACCACTAGTTTTGAGTTTGTGTAAAATCCGCAGGAGTCCGGACATAACTGCAACCGAATTAAAGCCTCAGATTTTGATGACAGCGACCAAAAACCACAAATTGCGACATGCAACACTCTAGTGAAGAAGATATATAATTTTTGCAATTGTTCATATGTAAATCTTCCTCTCCACTGTCATCAAAAGACCTAGGGGAAGATATCCACCGCCTATATCGCATTAGCATGTTTGAAAATTTGAGAGAGTTTGGAAATTAGAAAAATATTTGTCACCGGTTGTCTGGCAAGAAAATCCTCGCCTTTTCTCTTGCTACTGCCTACACATACTGGAAGGGCACTGGGACTGGTCACGAGCTTTGCGTTCAGAGAAATACCTCCGCCCACAGCGACCGGCTACGCGCCGCGGCAGAGGACGCTCGAGAGGTTTCTACGGTCGACTGCTCTCGGTCGGGCGCTGAGAACTGTTGGGGCGCGGCGCCCAATCACATTGCATCCCTTCACTGCCCGCGATGCCGCTACCGAAATCCCTCATCTGGGGATTCTGGTAAGTTCTTTTCCTGACTGCGTTTATTAAATAAAAAACACTGAAAATAAATAATTTTCAGCCTCGGTGAATTGCTGGGGCTATATTTCACTGGCTTCTCTAGAATGACCCCTAGCATAACTATATTGAATTAGTTTGTAATATAATTTCCAAACTCATTATTTCACGTTACTTCACCAAAATACCATTACAAATCAGAGTAATTACATGAAACGTCATCAATTATTCGTTTTCTTAAATATACTACGCCTGTGTGTGTAATTTTTATGAGCTGTACATAAACATTCCGATTCGTTATTTCAAAATAAAAATGAAATTGAAAGAAAATCTTGTAATAAACATTACTTTATTAGAAGAGGTACAGTTTCAAGTTATTAGATACTCCTCTCCATTTCAATTTGCTAACTTCTTCTGGTGATGTATGATTTCAACCCAAATCTTTAACTGCTAATTTCATTACATGAATGTGAACGGTGAAAGTGATGCTAGAAAGGGTAGTTAGGTGAGTTTTATAGGCTCCTGCATTTTCAGAATCCATAGAATGCGCTGCGAGCTAGCGACATTACTGAAGACCAGGGTGGATTGAGAGTTGGTCGCCGCTCGCCCGGAGGCTTCCGAGATTTGCAATATAATAGCGGCGTGCACAGAAAACGTCTGCCCGGTCTTACTCCGAATGTTCGCCAGGCAGAACCCCGAGTGGCGGTCGACCGATTTTCGTAGAATGCAGATGCCACCCCAGCAACAAGCCTTGACTGCGGGCTAAGGTCGCAGTTTCGATTCTGAGCGTGGCCTTCCCAGTGAGTACCGTAAAAATGAGTGTCGTACAGTTTAGGTAACATAACAATATATTTCGCCAACACTAATTTCATAATTGCAAAAACAATTACAAGTATTCATACAAATGATACATGTTACGTAAAATTTCTCAAAATACTCCCACAGGATGAAGGGGAGTGGGTTCCAATTCTACGTTACAAATTCTCCAATATTCCGGCTCTCGTGTAAATCATAATCGTGTAAATCAAACCATGCTTAAGCCCGACGTCCTTGGGATTTAAAGTAAACAAACTAAAAGCGTCAGGTCGGTTTACGGGGGGTGACGAATCTCCCCTACACGTCAGCACGGTAACAAGCATTCTTGCACTCCAGATACGTTGCGTGTGGAAGTGAAGACAATTCAGTTTGTGTTGCACGCAAACTTCAGCATGAATCAAGGATTACATACATATCACGGTTTGCGGATGCAGAGTACTGTAATGTATTCATTACATGTATTTTTAATGTATTTATTACCTTTTCTAAATTCATTAAACCGATGCGTTGGTTTGTGCATGCATCCGAAGAGAATGGCGAACGGCCTTAAGCCACTCTTCAAAGGTACACTACATGCTTCGGTAATAAAATATATCGTGCAAGTGCATGACACATTGAAAATATGTATTTTGCATATCAACCAATGTTGTTATCTCCTGCTATTAATTCATTCCTTGTATGTTATTTTAATGGTAATGCGTTTAAGATTTATTTCCAAGTTTTATGTATATTTCTACAAATGCATCATACACCTCCCTTCTCAAAAGTATACTCGTGCACACCATACTCGTTTTGAAATAAGACCGGGCAGTGCCGTGCCGACCTTCGTCATAAGTGCCTTGGACAGGGTGCGAGCCGGTGATAAGCCGACGCGACGCGACGCGACGCGACGCGGTGTAGCCCAGCCGGCCACGCTTGTTTTCACCGCATTAGTGTGGTGTTGGGTGAAGACTGTGTACACCATTTGAGGCCAAAAAAGTTTTATTCGAAAAAATCAATAATATCTGTATGAATTCGTAAGGCTATAATATAAAAATCACTAATAATATTATAAGTATACAACTGCTTAGAAGGTTAAATTCTTGGCTATTCGGGAGAATGAGTGACTGCCCTGAGGAAGCCTGCGACATGTCAGGCGAAACGTCGGCCTCTCAGCCAACAACGCTACGTCTCCCGGATAGCCAAGAATTTATGGAATCGAGCCGCGGAAGCTTAGGTGTGCGAGCTTAGAAGGAAACATAGTTGTTTGAATAGTGTATTGGTACCGATTTATACAATATTTAAATATCAAAACCATCGTTTTGAAAATTTTGGTACTTAGCTCTTTGGCTTTGCAATGCCTCATTTAATTGAAGAAAATCGTATTTTCTGCGATATTAGTGCATTTTAGAATATTACTTGATAATATATTTTTCGTTAATGAAAGAAGCACTTGGAGATGTCTTTTGACGTGAGTAGGTCAGGTAAGCCTATATCTGGTATATTCTTAACCAATATACTTAAACGCCTGTTGTTAATACAATATTTTAAGTTTATAAATTTGAATAGGAAGGAATTATCTCTAACTTATCTATTATTTTTGTTAATAACTGTTAATTTTGCGTAAAGTTACGAAACGTTAAGAAACAACAGTTAAGCTATTAAGAGTACATCCCTACCTTAGAATAAGAAATGTCCAAAGCTCTCCTACTTTAAGTTTCGTCTTTTATGGGTGACCCCGAATTCTTTTTCATTAATTGTCATTTTTAATTGACTATATCTCTTTGCATTATGTTTCCATCTCCGCAGTTTCTTGAATTAATATGTTCACACTCTAGACAAAACGTAAAATACGTTAAACTTTTTAATGAGGAAGATAAACTTCTCTAAATTATTTTTCTCGAAAATGTGTAAGAGAAATAACGTACAAATTGATAGCATTGTATCAAATATTGCATTAATAAAGTTATGTTTCATGAATTTGAACAAGTTACTATTCTGGCGTACTGTAATTTCGAGGGAATAAAAATCCAGTTTGATTTCAAGTGTGTTAAATAATTCTTATATAAGCCTTTATAATTTTTTCTGGTATACACATGTGTTTTGTAGACATTTAGAAGATGCGAATTTTTTTGTAGCTATCGCCTCATATTTTCAGAATTTCATTACTTTTTTAATTATTTTCATGTTTTCGACGTAATTTCATCAATTAGAACTGGGCTTATTCCACTTTTGTAAGTAAAATAGTGAGATTGTCACTTTTGAATCTTGCTGGACTACAACTGCAAAGACTGGAGTTGCATGAAACTGCAATGACACAGCTATTCTAGAATTTCATTTAAGAGAGTTTTCCGCTTCTAATTAAAGTAGTGAAGAATACACAGTCCCCTGCATATTTCTGATCCTTAAAAATTCAATATTTCAAGGAACAAGAAAGACAAGAACATACGTGGCCAAACCCTAAGCGAGACGTACACCTTGATTACCTCTCGCATATGAACGGGATTTTAAATTATAAAAATGTATTTAGTTACAATAGTTTTACTTTTCTAATTTCTTTTGAACTATTGAAGACTTTAAGTGTTTATTTCTCCTACCGAAAGCTCCAGTGGGTTCATTCAATAGATAATAGCGCAAAATAGATGTATACGAAATCAAATACAAATGCAACCTTTATCGTTTTCCTTTTCACTAATGAACGGCTTTTGAAATGCAGGACTGCTGCGTGCGCCGTGAGGCCGCAAAGCAAGGAGTGAAACGCGTCGGATCCTAGTCACGGAAAGAAAACGCGCAGCACGCTTCAGCCGCTGGCGTGATGGCCCCCGTTCATCGGCGTGTCGCCATCCGTCTGCTCTGGGATGTTGTTATTCCGTGCTGCCTCCGTCAGCGCCCCACTTCGCGACGAACAGTCGCCCCAAATGATACCGAAAGCGAGAACACATATCTTTCTCTAATTTCGAAACGCATTTCAACTAAACCAAATAGAGACGTGAAATTTAAATATAATGAATAGAAAAAATCATCATAGTTCATCATTTTTTTGTTGTGTTTCATTAACATTCTTTTCACTTCCATAGAGTAAAATATTCGATTGCAATATTTCCCGGAACAATGTCTTTATAAATAATTAGTCGTCTCCCTGTAATGACTTCTTATTTTATTCCTTCCTTTGATGGTGAATGTTTGCCAACCAAATTCTAAGTTCTAAAGGCTTCCCCGAAAGGGTATTCATCTTTACCAAATGGCGACGCTATTACTATTGCTGGCATACTGAGAAGGTGTAATTATCATTGTTTTCTAGCTTAATAATAATTTTGGAACCCTTTAAAATTTTATGTTGGGTTGTGATCGAATAATCTTTCACGGTAAACAACTCAATCATCTTTCATTATTGTATGTCTCATTGAGTATTTAAGGTACTTTAAGGTACTTTAAGGTACTCGTGTACCTGAGTTTCAAATTTTATTTGTGGCGTATATCTGAAGTTAAACATGTTTACTCATAGGATTAGGTATTAACAAAGTCAATTTTTGTAAATATTTATATTATTATTATTTTATATTTATATTCTGGTATGCCCTTTTTCCTTCCAAAAACAGAGTATGATTTGCAACATCATCTCTCATGGATCGTTAATTTTTTTGTTATTTTTTTATGATTGTTATTTGGATTATACTTAAGCCCCTGAATCTAAATTTGAATATTGTTAATTGACTTGTCAATTCTTTACAGTGATTTGAATTAGAATTATTTAAAAATCACTGGTAATAATCTCGATTAACAGAGCAATTTATTATCTGATAGTTGTAGATTAGATATGTAGAGTTACAGTTATATATTTCATTATGACGTCATAAGGACATTACATTAGTTTAAATTATATTTTTAAAACTTCTTCCAAAATAATCTAATTTTTGTTTAATTTGTAGCTATCATGTCACCTGAATTGCAAATGGTCGTGGGACTTGGCGTAGTCACGCGCATTCGGAAAAGTACCAATAAATAAAATACTAACAAACTTAGAAACAAACGGTGTTATGCAAATAGAAAGCACACATCTCTATGCACAAGAAACAATCAAAAACAAAAATCCATTTTTTTACGGGGAAACGTCATTTTGAGGTAGACGAGTACCTAACGAAAACGAATATTGTTTATTAAGTAGCGTTAAAAATGTTAATGATGAAGTAGAACCCGAACTTTCTACT